TAATAAATAGGAACACATATATTACGGCTTATTTATGTGACTTCCTTCTGGGATTTCAGTTACTTCCAACTATAAAATAGAGGGGTGCATCTAATAGGACAATCTACTATATTCTCTGAACTGTATTATGTGCATTATAATACATATTACATTATCCTACATAATAAAAGGCTAATATGCAAATAGACCAAATGGTGGAACAACTAAACAGCTGAACAACTGGTTGCTATGATGTGCGCTGACCACCAGGGGGCGTGTGCAGAACATGGCAGGCATTGGCTGTGGCGGGATGGTGGAGCAGGTGAGTGGGGGTGCCAGATCAAGGCGGGGTTCCGGTCGCTGTCATTGGGGTGAGCCTCTGGTGGTTACTGAAAATTCTTTGCTTCCTTGCACCACGGTCCCACATGGTGCTCGCACCTGCTGCCAGCACTGGCCCTGTTTGCACCCACAGCTGGAGCCACTGATTGCACCCACTGCCGGTGTCCGGCACCGGTCTCAGTTATTCAGTACCATCAAGGGTGTTAGTGGTGGCTGCAGGCCCCGATCATTCCTGAAGGCTTCTCCACCTCCCCCTGCTCCTGAGGGGCGATCAGGGCAGCAGCCACCACTCATACCTGCTGAAGGTGCTGGCCCCACTTGCACCTGCTGCTGGTGTTGGCCCCAATCGCTCTGCACCCTCAGCAGGTGTGAGTGATGCCATCAGCACATGGGAGTGGCAGCGACAGGAGCAGGGCTGCTGGCAGACAGGGGACTAGAGGCCGCAGTGGGAGGGGCCAGGATGGGGGTGCGGAGAATGGGTCGAGACCTGCCCCTATGCCCACTGCAGCCTTGTGACCCACAGTTCCTTTCAAGGTGCACAAATTTGTGCACTGGGCCCCTATTTATAATATAATAGTGCTGTCTAATAGCACTATATGTAATGACGAGGCCATTCTCTAATTTGCACTGCATGTTCTGGCAGTCACTAGCTACAAATCACTATTGAGCTCTTGAAATGTGGTGTATGATGGAGAAGTTGAATTTCCAAATTTTATTTAATTCTAATTAGTTGAAAAGTCCACATGAGGCTAATAAGTACCAGATTGAATATCCAGTATATAATACTTTCTCATACTCAAGCACACATAAAATTATTTTATTAAAATCTAATATTTTACCAAATATCCTCCTAATAAGTAATTTGTTGTTTAATTTTAAGCTGGCTTTTGGAAATATTATATCTAAAGTTTTTTCTCTAGATGCAAAAACATTAACACTAGAACAAGACATATCTCCTCACTCTATAGCTTAAAGACTGTAGTTATTTCAAGCATAAAGGAACTGTGGCATTTATTTTGTGTACTATATCCTTAAGATTATTGTTGTGAACAATGATAAATTAGTTGAACTTTGAATGGCATGGGATTATCAAATTGGCTTTGTAGAGCTAAAATTGAGAGTGCTGTATCTATTGTATGCTTTCCATAAATTCATAGTCCATATATAGTTTTGTCTGGTGATGACTATACTATTAAACTATTAATTAAAATATTTTAAAAAGCATCTTGGGAAATGAAAATAAGTTATATTATCTCAATTTATGTGAAAAATATGCATTAGTGTCCTTTCTCCTTTTCATGATTGTGGTATTATCTCTTTCCTGTGAAATGGGACAGTTATCACTACAACTAAATGAATACATTACTAAGGAGCAGTGATGTATTGTTTATTGGACTCTGAAGAAAGTAGTATTCGATGTCTCAGGGATAGATATGAAGAAAACTTTCTTACAGAACAATGCACTTTCAGTTTCTTAATCCTCATCTTTGCCTCCTTCACATTATCAGAAATTACTTGGGACTCTCAGCATGTCTAAAAGAGACTAGACTCAGTGTGCTAATAAACAACAAACAACAAAAACTCATAGGCTTTTCTTAGATTTCCCCTCACCCCACACTTATACATTAACTGCTCTTGCTTATTTCATCAATGCAAGACTGGGAATTCGACTTTAATTTTGTCTTCCACTTGTGCTGGCACAGAAACTTTATAATTAAAGTTACTTTATAATTAAAGAGTATTAATGACTATAATAGCCTACATATATTCCCTTATTTCATAATATCGAGGAAATGCAGTTTATCTATATAATATTAATTATTTGGTGCTTACAGATAAAACAAAAGACAAAATAAACAGTTGCTTAAAGTAACAAAAGAAAAAAATGAATAAAATAGACCAAGTTCAGTAAAATGCTTGTAGTGCCATGTATACACTTGTTAGGAGCCACTCTAATTTACATAAGGATTACTTGCTCAATACTGCCTGAAATGTTCCCATTTATTTACACCAGTTGTGAACACAAATATATGATCATAAAGAAAGACAAGATATCTTGTTTTCATCATCTCATGTTTATTAACTCTGGAGCAGTTGAACAATATTCAAGCATTTTGAACCTTTTGGGGTAATGTCATTCAAAAGCATTTGACACTTCCTTTTAGAAGATTCCATTAGGTTATCATTTAGTAATTGGTTTTAAAACATTTAATTCCCTAAAGCTATCTGGAGATTAAAGGTCGAATTTGCTAAACTTTTTATAGTGTCAGTAAATTTTAAGACAATGTAGCCAGGAATCAATATCCTGTCATTAAAAAATTGATCATGCAATTGATGCAAGAACTCAGAAATCTATATTCACAATTTGCTTTATGAAGCTTCACAGAGGAACAAAGAAAAAAAAAGGTAATGTATTTTTTGAAACTAAATGAAAAGTCTTTTCTAGTGACTTTTCTGTGAAATATAACTGGATTTAGTAATATACAATACATTGGACAAATAAATGAGATGACTCGTCATATGCCTAACAGAAATTTTGTCTTAATTTTATGCTATGTTAAAAGAATGTCCTATTTTAAACTAGTATGCTGCTGATTTATTTTCTGCTTGTATAAAGTAGTGGCAAAAATTAAAATATGAAATAATATAGTTGCAAGTGGAGAAAACATTTTTTGCTTCATGGGAGTCTTGTGTATATATTATATTATGAGACAAGTGCATTACATATTAGAATTGAGTATAAATCAATATATTGTGACCTCTTACTTTAATTAAATTGGATGCCATAACCATAATTTTGAATTTAAAAAATGAAAAAGATAGAAAATCAATGGATTTAATTCAACTTAAATCTTCACCATGAAAAAATATTTAGGTTAAATAAGGTTTGAATACCTTTTGTCAAAGCATGAAGCAGTAGCACCCAGGTGGATTACAAGCTCACAAATACGCAAATGGGGGGGAAAAAAAAGGAAAGAAAACGCTTCCAAAGAACAGGGAACATTTTACAATTCATCAGAAGGTTAGGGAAAAGTGGGCAAGAGAAATTATAACTTCTTCTTAAATAACCTTTCAAATAGCGATTCCTGCAGAACATCTGCCCATGTAGCACTGCTAACTCTCTCATGCAATTTTATGAAAAACAGAATTGGTGAGCTTTCTCAAAATGCATCTTTCTTTGCTATAGCCTCTCTATCACAATTAAAATAATAATTCATTCACTGTTTTTCTTAAACTTTAAATTTGACTTTTAGCAGTTGGAAAATTTTCTCTGAATCTAAGAAGTTATGTACAAAACCATTATGCATTCTAAGTACATATGTTCATTTCTATGTTTCTCTGAGCTTATTTTAGTCTTCAGATTGTACATTTTATTCCTAAAAGTTAAAGAATTAACAACTACCCATTTCTCTCTTCTTCTTTCAATATAAATATACCTTTTTATAGCATTCTTCATTTTATGCTAAAATAAAACTTTGCTGTTCTGGCCAATTTTTTTTTTCTTCTTTAATCAGGTCTGTTTGGCACTGATTACCGGGGTTTAAGGAAGTGTTTTCAGAGAATTTATAAACTTCTCCTAATATGCTAAATCTCTGGACCACAAATAAGTTATATTTGTGTTTTGAAAGCGTATCCAATGCACAAACCTTAAATTACAGTAACATCACAGTTATTGCTGAGAATCAAACTTTCCAGACTATCAAACTTTATGCTTTGATAGGTCAATTAAAAATAATTTGGATCATTTTAAAGAAATCACTTTCCAATACTTATACTCTTTAATGCCTTATTAAACACAGTATATGAAACAGATTAAACAGTTTCTTAGGTGAGTCAGTAACATCAAAAGATGGATTATTGTACTAATGTTAAAATTTACTGTGCTAGCCGAACCGGTTTGGCTCAGTGGATAGAGCGTCGGCTTGCAGACTGAAAGGTCCCGGTCAAGGGCATGTACCTGGGTTGCGGGCACATCCCCAGTGGGAGATGTGCAGGAGGCAGCTGATCGATGTTCCTCTCTCATCGATGTTTCTAACTCTCTATCCTCTCCCTTCCTCTCTGTAAAAAATCAATAAAATATATTTTAAAAAAATTTACTGTGCTAAAATTTTGTGTCTTTAAACCGGCCGCAGACTATACTGATGGTCTACTACTTGATATTCTTTGACTTCCCCACACTTTCATCTGTTACTTCTGTGAGTAGTTCTCGTAATCAGCCACTGCTGCTCTTAATTATCAGTTGTAATTGAGAGAAAAGGAAAGTTATTAGGGGACACAGGATACCCAAGCTTGACAGATGAGTAGTATCCTTCACTTCCTAACTACAAGTCAAAATGCTCTGACCTGCGGGTATTTTCTCAGTTCTCTGGGAGACTAAAATTTATGGGCTTAATTATTGCTTTTTTTTCTTTGCTCAGAGAATTTCTTTTGCTTATTTCTAGAACTAGGGCTGAGTATTATTTGATAGAAAATGACTGAAATTTGAATATAATATGAGAAGGCTAATTTCATAATTATTACCCAAGAAGTTCATAGACAAAGGATAAGAAAAAGTAAAAGCATTAAAGAGAAAACGCACAGCATTGTCTTCTTTTTGTTCCCCAATACTGACAGATTGCACCTAAATTTTACAGAAACAAATTAGTCTTCAGTTATTCTTCAACTGCATAAATGTAAAACGTAAATGCATATAGAAAGCATTTCACTATGTTGTGTTGTTTGACTATTTCTTAGAAAAATAAAGTTTGGGGTCATGTAACTATTCCTGAACAACTAAAATGTAAATTAAAAAATATCCATGCTTTGAAATGATCTGCATAATTTACTTAAGGCTGTAACAACACTGGGATGTGATAGACCTAAGTTCAAGCTTTGGAAAGAATTTGCAGAAGGTCAGTTCCTTCAAAGTTTAATCATTAAGGAGTGTGAAGAACATCTGAAGCATCTTCCGTGTTTCTGTGACATTTCACCCAAGGAAGTCACATCTGCAAAAATGAAAGTTGAAATGGTTAAAGCTAAGGAGAACTCTGAAGATAAGGGGAAATCCACCAACTGCAGTTGAGAAGAGCCAAAACTCTAATTACTTGGTGTTTCATTATGGCTTTTATTTATGTGGTATATCTTCATTGTAAAAACAACATGAAAAATGGTAATTTCTGATTAAATGCATTACAAAGAGCATTTTTAATGTATAAATGAGGTACTTGTGCTCAAGCCATACTTCCTTTGTTTGAGTACCTGCTATAATCTATTTCTTTTGAGATTTCAATCTTGTTTCAAAGGATATTGCTGTAATAAACAAAAGAAAGATAAGAAAAATATGACTACTACCTTCTGTTTATTGTTATGATAACACATTGATATTTGTTGTACATTTTGCTCTATTTAAAGAACCAACCATATAATGGCATTTAAACATGATATTTCTGTTAGTTGAGATGTTAACTTGAATGATAGCATGTTAATATTGTTCTAAAATGAAAACTTCCAGTATAATACAGCAACATTTGCCTCACATTATTTCAAGTCTTAAAGCATGTGATGGCCCAGGGGAGCACAACTAATGGTCATATTTCTATCAGATTTCATCAAGTAGGAGTCCTGATTTCCATGGCAGAGGCTTAGAACTTGCTACTTGCATCTACAGAATTTGTGAAACCTAGACAAAATACTTCTCTGAATTTGAGCTGCTTGGAGCTTGGATTGATTAAAATTTCAAACCTTTGGGCCAATAGATTAATGTTTTGAGGAGACTATTGGGTAAATATTAGGTTATTTTTTTTCTTCCCAAACACATATCACGGAAGAGATTAGGTGTTTTTTCCTGAAAACTAGATAACACATGAGATGTTTCTAGAGTTGACCTTAAACCAAGAAAAACTTTCATGATTAGCACTAGTTTCACTTTTAGTGTGAAGACTTATAGTGAAACGCAGAAGTAAAAACCCATAAATAAACCTGCTCTAAAAGGGTATACATCTTCTCCCACAAAAGTGAAGCCAAGATTTTTACAAAGTGTGAGATACTGTGTTTATTTTAGAATTGTATAATCAGTGATGTTAGCATAGCAATGCTAATTTAGCATCCACAAGACCATATAGATCATAAAGAGAATATTGGCCTAGAAGACCAGTGACCTGGTTCTGGATCTTGCTCTATTTGAAGGCCTGTAAAATTTGGGGCAAATCAAAATTTCCTCTCATAGTCTCTGTGTTCTTATTTTTTAAAAAATAAATACATAAATAAATAAAGAAAGAAAGAAAGAAAGAAAGGATTAAACAAGACTATGTTCTTGAATCTCTATTGACGTAAATTCATGACTAAGTCATTACATATTATTATAATGACTCAAGTTATATATTAAAAGATACATGCATTGCATTTTCTATATAATCCAAAAGAACACTGTGACAAAAGAAAGTAGTGTACCAAAAAATAATTTTGAAAATTAGAAATATATATTTTATGTCTTTCATTTTCATGCACTATAAAACATGAAACTTCACATGAGGAAGTCAAAAAATATCTGAGAAATCTTGGTGATAGTGGTAGGAAATAAAGAATCTCTCTATATAAAAGCCTAAGCGACCACTACAACCAGCCAACCAGCTGATCATACAACTGGCTGGTAGCTATCATATGCACTGAGTAGAAATATATATTTTATGTCTTTCATTTTCATGCACTATAAAACATGAAACTTCACATGAGGAAGTCAAGAAATATCTGAGAAATCTTGGTGATAGTGGTAGGAAATAAAGAATCTCTCTATATAAAAGCCTAAGCGACCATTACAACCAGCCAACCAGCTGATCGTACAACTGGCTGGTAGCTATCATATGAACTGACCACCAGGGGCAGATGCTCTGCAGGAGCTGCCCCCTGGTGATCAGTGCACTCTCACATCCAACCTCCCACAGACAGCCAACTTCCCTTGGTCCCTCCCCCTAGCCAGCCAACCTCCTGCGGTCCCTCTTGTGGCTGGCCAGGCTGAGGGACCCCATCTGTGCATGAATTCATGCACCGTGCCTCTAGTAGAAATATAATGGTTGAACATGTGAACCCACATGGTTGGTAAAAGGGAAAGGTAGTATGTATGATGTTCAATTCTTTCCTAAACTTAATTTTTTATGATATTACTATCTCAAGACTTTAATGATAAAGACTGTGGTTGTCATAACATTCAATAAAGTCTGTTAAGTGAAGGAGGTAATATACTAATTTGAAGTTTATCCCACAGTGATTCTGTAAACATCATATTAATTCAAGTCCATTTTCATAGTTTAGTAGCTATCTGGAGTTCATATGGCCTAAAACTTCATATGAAAATTTATATTAAAAATGAGAGTCTTATAATATTTTTTTCTTATCATACGTGTTTTGGTTGAATTAAAAAAATACTAAAATGGATGATAATCAAGGTTAGCTAAGGTAACAGAGTATATATCTAAACCAATCAAACTTAATTATTTTAATCACAGTGTAATGTCATTCTCAATACATCAAGAAACTGGAGGATTATGACTGATTTCAAGGAGTTACTTGATTTTTAATAGCAATTAGCTCCCACTCAAATGTAGCGTGGTGATTTTCAACAACCCTGCAGAGTGACCATACTTGGTATATTGCTAGATACAAAGTTCAATGTGATTTGTAATGATGGTGCTTTCCAAAAGCAGTGTTCTTGGCAGCATTCAGTAAGTCATCCTGTATTTATAAAAACACACAGTAACCTTATAATTTCATTGATCAATAACCCTACATAGGAAAAAAATATTTTCATTAAGTCATTCTGAAGATAAGAAAGTTGAAGTAAAATACTGACTAATTGTGGTTTAGAGCATTTGATGAAGAGGAAAAAAAACTGCAGGATATAAATTAGGACAGGGTCAGCACTGATGTGCTGCTTCTTGGGCCTCCACGTCATAAATCTGAGGATTATCTTGAGAAAAGCAAAAAGCTGTTTTCTCTTCTGTGTCTTAAGTTGTCAGAGCAGTTCTAGGTTGTCTTATCTGTTTGGGATTGGAGATGTACCCTCTCTAAGCTCTAATGGGAGAAAATACATAGATGAGATTTTATATTTAACATTTAGTGTTTAAAACATATACTATGTATGATTAAATAAATTGTTTAAGAGAAATCTCAGGATTTAAGCTTTCTGGATTTGAATTCTACTTGCATCACTTACTAGCTATTTGTCTTTCCACTTATTTGTATTATAATAATAACTAATGATTATTGAGTACTTAATATGTGCCAGGAACTACTCTAAATGGTTCATGTATATAAATCCATTTACTCCTCAGGACAATGCAATGTAGTAGAAATTATTATAATTCTCATTTTGTGGAGGAGGAATTCAGAATTTTAACAAGGTCTCACAGGTAACTGATGAACTGGGATTTAGGTGACCTAGGATTTGACCCACAAAACCTGACTTCCCCAGCTGCCCCTTTTACCCCTTTTATTGTCCTACTTCTCAAGATAGTGGAGGTAGTAATAGTATCTACTTTATGGAGCAGGATGATTAAATGAATCAATGCATATTTTACACTAAGTACAGGGCTTGGCACAGAGTAAATGTTCAGAACTGTATTGAAAGGTATTATCACATACATGTATTATTGGTCCAATATCTTCTAGCATCTAATTTAATCTTCAAAATACCACTGTGTTATTATCTAAATATACAAGCTATCTATCTATATAAAAACCTAATATGCAAATTGTCCCCACAGGAGTTCGACTGGGAGACTGATTGCTCACTATGATATGCGCTGACCACCAGGGAGTGGCACAGAATGAAGGAAGGTCCCAGCTGGTGGCCGGAATGCCCCGATTGGCCCTGATCGCCTGCCAAGCCTAGGGACCCTATCTGTGCATGATTTTCATGCACAAGACCTCTAGTAGAGAAATAAATTATCTTGATGGAAACAAGATAATGAGTAATAGAAGCAGAATTTGGATTACATGTTCTGATTCCATGGCTAATACTCTTTCTGCTATACCATTCTTTCTCCTATGTTTCATGTGATCATAATTTTGGTATTGTTATTTGCAATAAAATGGTGTATGTCACTGGAAAGTTTCTTTTTCATAATAGAGGGATTTCTACCTATTATGTCTACTCTATTTTTGAAGGTAATTTATTATTCTAATTAGAATTTTAACCTTTGCTTATATATTAATATTCAATAAGTATATAGGATTCTGTGATAATACCTAAATCATTTTTAGGGTGAAGTAGGATATTCTTTGGATTCTTTAATGTCACTTAAATTATTTAGCATCAATATACTAATTAAGTAGAGAAATGTTTGAAAATGAATTTACAAACTAGGAAATCAAAAGAGGGATTTATAAACTAGATGGATCAATTAGCCTATTGTGAAATATAAATCAAAAGTTTGCATGTACTGTTACATATTTAAATTGTACTCACAATTGGAATCAATTAACCTCTGGAATTTGAAAGCCGATTTCCACCAATCCGATCCATGGGGATACCGAATCGTCTTTTTGGGTGATCTACTACTTTCCTGAAACAAACCAAGGAGAACATTTTTAAGCTAAAGTCCAAGTTGTCAATTGTTACTTTTGTTCTTTTATTTCCTACAGATCCTGGGGTTTTCTTTGAGAGTTGGAATAACTGATAGTTATCAGTCATCACACCCATTCTGTGCCAGACACAATCTCTTATCCTTTCAACATCTTTGGAAGTAGGTGTTATTACCTCCTTTTTACATCTGAAGAAACTAAGGCTTAGAGAAATTAAGTAAGTTACCCAAAATCAAACAGCCCAGAGGAAAAGCTAGGTCTTATCAGCAAACCATTTTGTTATTCATTCATTTATTATTATTATTATTATTATTATTATTATTTTTACTTAATTCAGCCTTTTCAGCTGATTCACATGCATCTTCCTTTTTAGGTTGGCCTTTAGTTTTGCTAGTTAATGCAGATAACCTTGTAAGTAAGAACTTACATGATGGCCTTTTAGAGACTAGTTTGATCAGTGGATGTTAAGTCCGGTGTGGGAAGTGGGTGTGTGGAGGGTGGAGATTAGTGCTTAGCCTTAACCTATCCATACTTCTGCCTCCATTCTTCAGAGTTTCAAAAGACATACCCTCTTAAGTGGTGTTATTTATTGCACTTCTTGATTTCTTGACATTAAATTAACTATGTATTTTCAACTTGATAATTTAATGGAAAAAATGATCTGTAACTTAGCATAAAATTAATGGTCAAGAGTTACAAGAAGCTGTGCATATCAGTGTGCTTTAGGTCTTCTGATGTAATTATAAATAATGACTTGAAACAGAGTTTATTCTTGTATTATTATTTATTTTTACTAGAGGCCTGGTGCACAAAATTTGTGCATGGGATGGGGGTGTCCCTCAGCCTGGCCTGTACCCTCTCCAATCTGGAAACCCTTGGGGGATGTCAGACTGCCAGTTTAGGTCTGAATCCCACAGGAATTGGGCCTAAACTGGCAGTCGGACATCCCTCTCATAATCCAAGACTGCTGACTCCTAACCGTTCACCTGCCTGCCTGCCTGAATGCCCCTAACTGCTTCTGCCTGCCATCCTGATCGCCCCCTAACTGCTACCCTGCTGGCCTGATTGGCACCTAACTACTATATTATATAGGATTGTATTATTTTCCATACAAACAACTGTAAACCTATGTTTGCCCCACCCTGAATTTTTTATTATTTTTTTTAATCATTTACTTTCCCTGTGGTAGTCAAAATAATGCCCTTCCTCAAGGGATGTCCAAGTTGTAATCCACAGAATCTTTAAATATCTCTTTACATAGCTAAAGGGACATTGCAGACAGAATTAATAAAGATCTTGAGATAAAAAGATTATCCTGGATGATCTAGGTGGGCTCAATCTAGTGACAGGAGTCCTTAGAGGTGGAAAATGACTGAAGCCGGGAGGGTCAGAGAGTGCAATCGGAGGACTTAATTCACCATTGCTGCCCTGGAAGAAGGAGGAAAGAATCAGGAATCAAGGATTACTGTGGCCTCTAAAAGTTCTTAAAAGAAAACAGGGACTTTTCCTATAACCAAAATAACTTTAATTCTGCCAATGACTGAGTGAGCAGGGAATTAAACACCCCTGAGCCTCCAAGAAGAGCACAGGATCTCTGGACTTCTGTACCTTGCTGGCAGAGCAGGCAAAAGGGAGAGCACAGAGCTGCAGGCAGGAGAAATTTTAAGGGCTACTCATTGGCAGGCAATCAATCATGTGGCTGCACCTAATTGAAAAGAAGACTGAAAAAAAGTTTTCTCGAATCATATACAGTGACTGGTGAGGATACACTGGACTTCTGACCTACACAATTGTGAGATAATAAATTTCTGCTGTTTTAAATCCAGAGTTTTGTGGTAATTTATTGCCATAGCAATAAAAAATGAATACATATGTCTGTATGATTTAGGGTTGATGGCTAAGTGCAATGTGGTTAATATATAAAAAAAATAAAATAAATAAAAATAAACTGATGTGATTTGATTCTTTTAACCCTTAAATTTCTGCACTGATTACCACATTATAACTCCAGGAGAGGGTAAGATGGAAGCCACCTCAGGCTGGAAGAGAGTGCTCAGGGGAAGTCCCAGACAAGCAGAAAGAGGAAGTGGGAAACCAGCCCCTTCCAGATGGTTAAGGGATGGGCAAGAAAGGAAGGCTATGACACCTGGAAAAAAGGGTAGTGCTTCACATGTGTGCTGACCTCCCAAGGCTCCTGTAACATGAGTGGTGCCCTGAAAAACAATCTTTTTACTTTAAGAGGAATTTTATGGTTTCATGCACCATTGTAAATTCAAACATAACATGTATTCATCCGTACTACCAGTGTGTTGTTGTTGTTGTTTTTCAAACGTGAAGGTATAATATATGAAAATAGCATTTTTCTTTCTTTACTACAGTTGATCTTTTTCTGCTCAAGTAAATGAGAGGTAGTTGTGGTATGGTGGAAAGCAAATTAAACTCTCTTTTCCCTTCCTTCTGTCTTTGTTCCATTCTTCCCTTTCCTTCTTTTCCCAGATTTGATCCAAAAAGTATTAGGAGCCAGGAGATGGTAGACTTGAATTCTATCTGACTCTTCTACTTACTGACAGAATAAGTGTTTGTCTTTTATCTTTCTGAGCTTCTCTTTCTTAAATTCAGATAATACTTGCTCTACCTGTCTTCTGGAGCTGTTTATTCATTTAGCATGCTTGTTTGTTATTTTAATTGTTTTATGCATAACCACATGTAATTTGTCCTCTGCACTGCAGATACTGTGGTGAAGAAGACATATAGTAGTTATGAGAGCTCACATTTTACTTGAGAGATGCTAAAGAAGTAACACATCTGAAAATATTTCAACTGATTTTATTATTCTTTCCTATCAATCTAGTCTAATGGTTTATGAACTATTGGTAGCTTACTATTTCTATGAATAAAAGCTTTATAAAAAACAGCAATAACTAAAAAGTAAATTGAAGAATTATCTCAGTGAAGTAGTACCCACTTCCCTCAAATATGTGGCCCCTGAAAAAACTTCCAGGCACACTGAATGATCCCGAGGGCAGAGTTTGAAAACCACTGGTCAAGTGGACAGAGACCCAGGTCATGAATACTTTTGTTTTATTAATAGATCTATAATTACTTTGATTCATTTTATCAAATTTGGATTGGTTGAAAATGCCTATAGGTATCTTAAAGTCAAATAAGAAAGACAAATAAAACAGATATGAAAATCCATTCAGTATTTAAAGTGTTTAGCACTAATAGAAAAATGAAAGCAATTATTGCCATAAAGCAGATACACAAAAAATAAAATGATTATAGTTCAGTAAGTTAAATAATTTATCTACAGTCTCCTATCCATTCGGAATTGAAATGGTAAACTAGTATTTTATCTTAAAATTTTTGCTGATATGAAATATATATAGCATATATAGCAGTACTACACTCTATAATATGTAGCAGTACTACACTCTTGTCAGTATACACTGACAAGAACACACAGTGTGTAGAACATAAACGTTAAGAAGGAGAAATATTCTTAAGACCAAATGAGAAAACTGTACTTTCTGACTATGTAGTCCCTCTTGTGACAAAATAATGGTATGACATGGTATATATACTAGAAGAAGCCCAGTGCACAAATATTTGTGCACTTTGGGGGGGAGGAGGGGGTCTCTCAGGCCGGCCTGTGCCCTCTCACGGTCTGGGACCCCTCGGGGGATAACATCCTGCTGACTGAGGCTTGCTCCCCGGGGGATGGGACCTAAGATGGCAATCAGACACTCCTCTGGCAGCCTGGAAGCCCTCGGGAGATGTCCACTTGCCAGCGGGGAGCAGACCTAAGCTGCAGTCGGACATCCTTAGTGCTGCTGAGGAGGCAGGAGAGGCTCCCACCACCACTGCTGTACTGGCAGCCATTAGCCTGGCTTGTGGCTGAGCAGTGCTCCCCCATGTGGGAGCGCACTGATCACCAGAGGGCAGCTCCTGCATTGAGCGTCTGCCCCCTGGTGGTCAGTGTGAGTCATAGTGATCAGTCATTCCCAGTCCTTCTGCTGTTAGGGTCAGTTTGCATATTACCCTTTTACTATATAGGATAGAGGCCTGGTACATGGGTGGGGGCTGGCTGGTTTGCCCTGAAGGGTGTCCCGGATCAGGGGGGGGGTCCCGCTCGGGTGCCTGGCCAGCCTGGTTGAGGGGATGATGGCTGTTTGAAGCTGGTCACACCCCCTTCAGGGTGGGGATCCCCACTGGGGTGCCTGGCCAGTCTGGGTGAGGGGCTAGCAGAAGACTGAAGCTCCCACCCTCTCCTTCTTTTCCTTTTTTTTTTCTGGGATTTATTTACTTTCTATGGCTGTCAGTTGAGCTGAGAGCCAGCTCCAGCTCTGAGGCTGGCTCCAGCTTGAGGACTCAGCTGCCAAAAGCAGGTATCTGGGGTTTGTATGGCTTCTATAATGGAAACACTGTTGCAGCTCCAGCTCTGAGGCCTCGTTGGCTGAAAGCAGGTATCTGGGGTTTGTTTAGCTTCTATAATTGCAACATTGTTTCTTAGAGTGCAGCTCAGAACTGGGCTGCGGCAGGTGGGGATCCTTGGCTTCCTCCATCACTGGAGCAAGCAAGCCTCCTGTTCGCTTCAGCTGCCTGGCAGCCGGCCGCCATCTTTGTTGGCAGTTAATTTACATATCGCCCTGATTAGCCAATGGGAAGCATGTCGGAGGTATGGTTAATTACCATGTTTGTCTTTTATTAGATTAGATATCCATTTAACCCAATCCACCTTTTCCATTCTAAACTATTCTGAAAGTAGTTTAAGGATAAATATCTATCAAACTAATATAGAAAGAATTGGACTGTTTATTTTAAATATAACTTTAAACTTCACACTAAAATATAGACTTTCTATTCCTAATAGGATTTTCTTAACATTTATATTTTTTATAATTCAATTTCTGAAAATCGTTTACATCCTAAAGCAAGTTAGAAAAATTGTGCTTAAACCTTTTATTGAGAATCACTTCAC